ACGAGGCCTAGTCGCATGCCTGAACCAGCCGCCTGAGTGACCCAGCCAGCCCAGCAGAGAGAGAGGGAGCCAGACTGAGCCAATTGAGAGGACTGCAAACATCCTGGATGGGTGAGGACCTTTTGTCGGGGACCCAGATGACTTCCCTCTATGTTGCCTAAACTGAAGAGAGAGAGAGGACGCCCAGTTCCTGCCAGCACTCTTCATATCTTTCCAACTGACCTGAGGATTGGTGAGAGGCCTTTGGCCACGTTGACAACCTGTTTGCTGTTCATATCTGCACTACAGTAAGGGCCCCAACGCCGGCTAGCTTAGGACACCACTACTGGCCAGTAGTATAGGGAGGTTCGGACATTGTTAAAGGGAGACCTTAAAGGGACATACACCCCATTCAGGGGAAAGCCTTTAGAGACAATTGGCCTCACATACCTCAGTACTGACAGCAGATAGCTGCAGTTACTGGGTCGCAGAGTGCCTCAGCCTGTTGATACACATTATTGTTGGGGATTTCTGTCATTACTATTGTATCATAGTTGTTCATCTCTGATTTGTCAGTAAATCTGCTATAAAACTGTTCAAAGGTGTGTTGGTGTGCTGTGGATCCACGCTCTGGGCGGTACATTGGTGTAGGGGGATAGAAATATCCGGTTATTCAGCGGCTCCTTCGGGGGTGAGCGCTACATCTGGGGGCTCGTCCGGGATAGTTTTCTGACCCCCCTCACCAGAGAATGACCGCACGGGACAAATTGGTAACATGGATCAAGAAGCAGCCACCAAGTGATGTCAAGACCAGAATGGACAATTCGAGATGAGCATAGTCATAGACATCCCTGATGGCAGTTGGACCGAGGATCAGGTTCGCCAAGCAGTGACCTTGTTAGCACCTAAGCAGAAGGTGTTTGTGATAGATATGAAGAGGGACTCAGAAAACTCTCATACCTATGCACTGTTAGAATGGAAGAAGGGAATTCCTGATTGTTTCCAGGGAGACAACGCTCTACTTACTCCTGAAACCAGAGTACAGATACTCCCACTAAAGGTGTCAGCCAGCCCTTCAGAAGGGTCCAGTGAGACCATGTCTGATGTAATGGAAGTGAATGACTCCTCTGTGTCGGTCTCAAATAGCTTACCAGCCTCTTTCTTCATGGACATAAGGAAACTGGCTGAAAACTCTGCAAGAAATACAACACAGTTCCCTCATTATGGATATCGTAAACTACGGTTCTATTCAGGGAAGGTTCCCGTCCCGTCAGGGGAAGAAGACTTTGAGACTTGGGTGGAGCAAGCTTCTCAGGGACTTTAGGAGTGGGATGTTCCTGAAGTGCAAAAGAAACAGAGAATAGTTGAAAGCCTGAGGGGACCAGCTGCAGAGATCATCTGCAACTTAAAGTTAGGCAAGCAGGACTGCACTGCCGCAGACTACATGGATGCCTTACGTGCTGCCTTTGAAAGGGTGGAAAAACTCTCGGATTTAATATACAAGCTGGAGAACACTCACCAGAAGAGAGGAGAGAAGCTATCAGATTATGCGGCTCGAGTAGACAAGGTGCTACGACAAGTCGTGCAGAAGAAAGGAGTAGATCCTCTGGCAGTTAACAAGACTCGATTAGATCAAATCCTGCAGGGTGCTCGACCTAATCATCCCATTGTCCTCAAGATCCTTCTGAAAGGTCCTAATTATATCCCCACCTATCCAGGACTATTGAGAGAAATTCGGGCGGAGGAGGCTCTAATAGAGCAAAAGAACGCACAGCCCTCATGTTCTGAAGGCTCCACTTCCAAAAGAGATAAAGTGCATTTTTGCCCTGTGCCAGCTCATTGTTACTTTTCAGATGAGGAAGACACTGGAACTACCAGTGAGTCAGAAGTGAGCGTGAAGAGACAGGATGCTGCTCACCACTCCGTTGATATGGGAGTCAAACAAGACCTCGCTCAGTTAGCTCAAACTCAACGCGAGCTATATCAGACCATAAAGGAGCTGCAGGAGAATCAAGCCACCTTATGTCAGGTTGTAGCAAGAATGGCTGAAGCACAAGCTTATGGGCCAGACCATAGAGCCAACGCTCCACCTCTAGCGACCGACTTCGTGCCCAACAGGAGAATTCCTAGTGTGACTGGAAGAGAGTGTTATCGATGTGGGAAATTGGGTCACTTTCAAGCCTACTGCCCTGCGAAGGGACGTCCATCAAGCTTGGTCCCGAGGACCACTGAGGGGTCCCAGAAGGTGCCATATTCCAAGCAAGGGGGAAACTTCAACGGGCCCCAGTGAGGGAGCAAATTGGGCGCCCACTCAACCTGACCCGCTCCAACGTTGAGAACGCAACACAGAAACAAGAGAGGCAAAGTTCCGTGGTTAAGGCTCCACCTACCCCAAATACCAAGTCCTCTCTCTGTGTGCCTAAACATCCATCCCAGGAACACAAGGCACACTATACACTTCCCCGTAAAACAAAGACCCAGAAGTCACAGTCAAGAAGAGTAAAGGTACAAAACTCTCATGCCATTCCACCAACAGAGCTGAAATATGGTTTATCTGAAGAGCTGGTTGGCCCTGCCCCTGTTGTCCCAGTCCAAGTAGAAGGGATCTTCACCAAAGTGCTACTAGACTCTGGGGCTCAAGTCACCCTGATTTACCAAGATTTCTATGAAAAAGATCTGAAACACCTCCCACTCACCAAATTAAAAGGCCTTGAAGTCTGAGGTGTTGGAGATACAAAACTTGTGTACACCGGATATCTCCAAGTCAAGCTGGAATTTAGTCCCTCTATAGCTGGACAAGCAGGAGCGTCTGACACCTTGGCCATTGTGGGTCCTCGACCACCAGGTTC